GGGTCATATGCGCGCGTGCACTGACGCGACACCGGGGGGGGGGGCTGGGGGGAAAGGGCAGCGGCGGGCACAGCAGTGGCAATGTGAATTTCTGGGTGAGCGGCCACGAAGCAAATTTTGTATTAACTTCAGGGGCGCCGGGGGCAAACTATAGCCACCTGATAGGAAACGTGTCTCCGATTTCTCCTGAGACAAACCACCACCCGAAACTACTGAGAACTGGAGCTGCTCAGCCAGGAGCCATGCCACCGAGAAGACTCAAACGATACTGTAGTGGGAGAGGAGAAAAACAGCCCAGCTGCCTTTAGAGGTTCTTGCTGGCATGTGAGCAATGGCGGGGCTGAGAAAAGGGAGCAACCATTTTCCGCTTAGGTTTTTCTCTAAGTGTCACCGGATAAGTCCATCCTTTGCTCACTTTGGTTTGGAGAAACAAGGGGTGAATACGGACGTTAGCAGAACGCCTTGATTTTTTCCAACCCAATCTACTGGCAGGGCAATGCCAGTGCCAATAATGAAGGAAAGCCAATAACCAAAAAAATTCCTGAAGGAGAAATCCGCGCCGCCGCAAACAGTTTGAGTATCTGAAGTAAAACTTCTGATTAGCGCCACACCAAGGGCTGAAATTAAAGCGCAGAGCTCTTTCTCTTTCACTCGAAGCGCCCTTGTGGCAGGACGGCGAACATGCAGGGATTAAAAGAAGCCACCACCCACTCTTGACGGAACTCCAGAGCTTGGCCGAAGTCGTGTGATCTCCAGTAACATGATCCTTATACGGGCGCAGACCAGGAATGTGGAACTGCTCTGAAAGCGCCAGACCCTGCTGTTCGTCGAGCGAGCAGGTCCTGCTAAACAGACGATTAAGTACGCATAAGAGGTGCCATTTAGTAGACAACGCACTAAGATGAATAAATGCACCTATCAAATGTACAATGCGACGTTGACTGTGCTTCATGTTTATTTGTGGCATCTCTGTGCAAACTGCCCTGTTAGGGAACTATATTACGTGACAAGGAAAGATACTCAGAAATCTAGTTCCGATTTAAAAACTCGGGATAGGAGACTTAACTATCTCTTTTCATACAGAGAAGGAAAAAGATAAATGGGGATAGGAAAATATATTTGTAACGGTTACTTGCTAGTTGTTTGGAATGAAACAATTTCCTGACCTGGCTCTTTGCTTATGCTTTGGGGACACTGATGGCTTTTGACAGCAGAGTTAAAAGTCTGGACTGAAAAACTGCAGGGCAAGATTACTTTTACCCCAATTCCAGAATTTCAGCAGCAGCAAAAAAAAAAAAAAAAAAAATTATGTGTGTGCCTTTGAGTCAGTGTTGACTCCTGGCAACTGCCTAGACAAGTCCCTGCAGTTTTCTTGACAAGATTTTGGAAGTGGTTTGCCATTGCCTTCTTCCTAGGGCTGAGAGAGAATGACTAGTCCAAGTTACTCTAAAGAAAGTCTCTCTAGCATACTGGTCATTATGAAATGTAAAAGATTACTAACCTGAGGAAAACTGAAAGCCCTGCCAAGTGGCCCTATGAATATTTTAACAGGCATACTATGTTCATTGGGACTTATTCCGAAGTAAAGGTGCACTGGTTTTCTGTCCCGTCCCATCTCCACCACCTGTGAGCTGCTAAATACAAGCATCTTGGAAGAAACCTAAGTTTGCCACATACCCATCACTGCCTTGTAATATTGCACAGCTAAGGAATTATGCCAGCTTCAGAGTTTGGTAACTTGGGAAGCTTAATCTCACTCTAACCGTTACTCATGAAGAATTAGAAACATTGGCACTTAAATATTTTATTTCTGGCAAAATATGACTTGGGGCTGTATAACTGCAACTACTGTGCCTCGTAACCAAATAGCAAATGAATCAAGAATTACATTCAGATCTTACAATTGCATTCTAAATCCAGACCTGAATGACAGTGCAGCACTGTCCAGATCTTTCTGTAGTGTGACAGAAAGTTACTCATAAACTCCTTAGAAATGGCTTAAAGCAGTAAGGGGAAGTCCAGTTAGTTTCACTGTTCACTTCTACTGAATCTCATCAGAAATTCATATTTTGAATGTGGCCTCTTGTATTGGTCAGATTGTGTTCTCACACCACTGGTACTCAAACTGCTTCCACCATCAATGTGTTCTTTTAATCAGCTCTTAACAAGGAACTAAGACAAACGTAATTTGTTTTTGCTTAACGTGTTGTATGAAGACACAATTGCAGTTGTGAACCACAGTTTAGCATGTGCAGATTTTGGTAGGACAGCGTTGTAAGAGAACTGACACTGAACTCAGTGTTCAGTTAATTATCCCTCATACATTACAATTAAGTCAGCATTTGCTGTTGCTTTATCTAATACTGTAGATTACAGGACTCTAGCGTTAGGGTTCAAGGTCCTGACGGTCAAAAAATATTTAGACTTTTGATATACTTTATCCATACTAAACTAATCTACAAAGTGGAATGGAAGAGGAGATCCTGCAGTTTTATTCTTTTGCTTCCAGAAGACAAAGGTTTCCATAAAAACATAAATGCTCTATTTTTTTAAATTTCTGAACTAAAATTAGAATTTGGAGAAATGCAAGCATTCTATATACAATTCTAGTTATTCCTAAAACTCTAGTCCCTATGATACCTAGACCCAATTATAGGAATTAAAGGATTAGGGTTAATCCTGAAAAGAGTGCTCTGAAAGGAGTCTTTGCCCTTTGTGTCACAGGATGCTATTACTTAGAAAGCATTCCAGGGTTTTCTGCAATATCTCAGTAAAAGCTCCAGAAGGTTGACATAAAGAAAACAATTACATTGCAGTACAATCCTATGCACAACTACTTAGAATTAAACCCACGTAACTAAACAGGACTGCAATCTAAATTATTTGTATTTTAAAAATTACCAAATAGACCTTCACCCAGAGGTTTTAGAGCAGTGCACAAAAGGATGATCAAAGCTATACAGAAATGCAGTGGAATGCATCCTATCTGATGAAGTGAGCTCCAGCTCATCCCTTTTAATAAAATTTGTTAGTTGGAAAAGGTGCTACCAGACTCCTGATTTTTTGTCCTTCCTTTGGTGACCCAGTATCCACCAAGTAGGTCGGATTCCTCCTCCTCCCTTTCCCCATACCATTCCCACCCCTAATTTGCTTTGGAGTTTACAAAAGACATGAGGGTGGGTAGGATGGAGAGAAGGAAAAGGAAGCTCCAATGGATAGCACAAGTCCACTTCTGCAATGTTTTATGTAGCTCAATATAATAATAAATATCTGTAATCAAATGCAACAGAGGGTTTGCATTCAAGTTAGAAAAATAATAAAACAAAAGCCAACAGTATAAAATCCATCAAAAGATCCTGGACGTGCCTCTTTAAGGAGGGCAATCAAGAATCACGGTACCATTGTTCGATTATTATACAACACAACAAAACCTCCACAAAAAATCTCCAAACTCCAGCCTCTCACCAATATTCACACAGGGGCCAAATTCACTACAGAAACATAAGAATGGCAAAGGAAGCTTAGTTCCTAAACTGATTAAAACCTAAATTATGGACTATTGTTATTAAAGTTACATCCCACTTTTATTTGTACAACTCAAGGCAGTTATGGCAGACAGTATATGTGGCTCTTCCTGTTCCATGATGACAAAATGAGTTTCTATGTAAAACTTAGACAAATACTCTGCTGTTTGTTTTACATGCAACTAGATTTATATTTACTATACTTAGTTTTATACTGTATCTTCAGGAAGAAATACCTTCATTTTATTTGGAAGGATTCCTTCTCACTATCAATAGAATTGTAGCAATGGGGAGAAATTGAGGCCAGGTTAAATTTTCAGGTCCAGATGAATTTTATCCTAGGATACTAAAAAAGCTAGGTGATGGCATGCTGAAAACTGTATATATTGTCCTTGAAAAACTGGAAAACTGGTGAAGAGCCAGAACACTGGAGATGAGCAAATGTCACTGTCTTTAAAAAAAAAAAAAAAAAGG